CTACTTACAGATTCTGCAGTTTGTAGTCTGGACTCTCTACAAGATCCTGCAGCTGCTGAACATCTGACTCCTTCAGGTTGTTGTCCCTCAGGTCCATTTCAGTCAGATGGGAGGGGTTTGACTTCAGAGCTGAGACCAGAGAAGCACAGCTGATCTTTGACAAACCGCAGCTCCTCAACCTGGATAAAGAATAGAAAGATGTGAGCTGATCCAACAGAATGCAGGTTAAAACAGTCCAACAGAAGCAGTTAAAGAGCTCTCATTAATATTAATGCCAACATGCTGCTGCTCCAATAAAGACCTGCTGACTTCAGCTCTTTATCTCTGTCAGCTCCACCAGCAGCTCCATCAATACAAACTCAGTTTCTGCTGCCAAATTCTTCAAGTTTCACACAAAAACACAAACAAGTTGTGGAGAACTTTGGAGGAAAGATGAACAAATAGAGATGAATGCAAATCAATCAAACTCAAATACACAGTGGGCTAAAATTTTAAATTGAACAAAGCCACGGGCCAAAGTTGAACAAATGAATCTTTTAATATGAACCCAAACAAGTTTTGATTTAACAATAAATACTGAACAAGCAAGGCTTATATAACTTAAAAGTGCAGGCGTGCAAAATCGAGTTGCTAAAAATGATATTAAAGCATATCAATGGAATATTAAATAATATTTAAATAAAAAATTGAATGGCTCCTTTTTGAGATAAATGTCAAAATTAGCTTTGCACACAGGCATTGGAGTAACAAGGAAAGGTGCATAGAAAACTTATTTATTGCTCATTTTGCGACACACTGCTCTACTCTGATGTGGGCAAGCCAGATATCTGGCATCTTTTCTTGGACTCCAGTTCATCAATATCAGGGCTCAGGGTTTGAGCTGAGGAAAACGTCATTATTGAACAAAGGTCTTCGTCATCTTCATTGAGGAGAAAAGTTGCTAACATAGATAAGTGCTACCAAACATCCAACTTTATTGGAGCTCAGTAGCGGCCCATGCCGAGGTGGATCTCTGCACACAGTGTGTGTCAGCTACCCTTTATTCAGTCCTAGGCCTTGTGAGCCTGGTTGTGTGTTGGTGTTTCTGCCCTGTTTGCTCCTCCTCTTTGCAGGTTATGGTGATGGGGATCCTGAACAGAGGATAGAAATACCTGCCTCTTTCTCTCTCTCTCCACGCCCCCCTGATGGACGCCATGCTGCTGGACATCATCATCACCTTCATCATCATTATCATCATCATCATCACCTTAATCATAATCACCTTCACAATCATCAACTTCATCATCATCACCCTCCTCATTGCCATCATCACCTTTATCATCCTCATCACCATCTTAATCACCTCCTTGATCCTAAATCCTAAATGTTTCTCTCTGCACCTTGTGGCATGGTCTCCAGTTTTTAGGACCCTGAGCCAGAACACCCTGAAAACGAATGACAGGAAGTCCAGTTCATTTCCATCCTCCATGACTCTGCCAAC